AAATGCATTAAACAGAACGTTAAGCAACAACACTACTAGTATATTAAACAATCAAATTCATTATTTGTTGATACGAAAATGAGAATATGTGGTAGGATTGCCAATGAGACAACTATCCACCAGATTCAAAATGAATTAGTACATTTTGTGACTTTAAAAGAGAGGCAAAAGATACCAAAGGGACATTCAAACTCGTAAGTCAAAAATAAATTGACATCGCTATGGCAAAAAAAAACCAGAAAAAGACCAACAGACAAACAACAGTACATAAAACATAACATTGAAAACTAAAGAATGAGCAACACAAACCCCACCAAAACTGGGGGTGATCCCAGGTGCTCCGGAAGGGTAAGCAGATCCTGCCCCACATGTGGCACGTGTTGCTCATGTTAGTAATTGTCAAATAAAAACACCTGTATAATATATGACCAAATACGTCATTGAGACAGCATCCAAACGAGTTCAGAATAAATATTTATTATAAATTAATAATACCGGTAAAAATAAAGGTGGCAGTAGTCTACCGATGTCAAAATCTCGCAAATCGATTAAGAAGATACAAATCATGGTAGCAAATAAAACCTGAATGAATCGCATGGACTCCAAAAGGATCGAGACGCGTTGACAAGGTAAGAGTTTCCTGCTATGTATGCATCACTCGCAATGCGAATCCATACTAAGTTATAAGGTCGCAGTCGGGAATTGGACACAATCGGTAAAAATTACAGATCAGACGACTATACTGGTATCTCAAGACCGCGAAAACATGTATTGTAGCGGTCAACCATAATAAATGTGACGGTGATCGTAAAACTTATGTAGTGTCTATTTCAGTCATTCTTTCTTATAACTCTATTGGATCAGTTTTTGTATAAGAAGCGCATCCCTGTTAACGAAGTCTGCATAGTGTGAACATGCATGAGCGAAACGTATTAACTGATATATGTAACAGCCATACGATGGAGCAGAGGGTATATTATGTTGAGAAATGAAAAATTGACAATTGGAAAGTTGAAATCATAACGTTTTTCATAGATTCTAGTTTGAAGTCATCCATCTGTGTCAAATTCCATGAAAAGATCCAGATATGAGGCAGACATTCTATTTTCGGCTGAATCCTTAATATCAAGTTCAGCCGGATATATCAGATGTAAGCATTCATTGAAATGCGGGGTATTGAGTGACAGGACGTCATCAATATATCTAAAAGTGAAATTAAAGAACTTTCCCAGATGCTTTTTCCTTCTGTCTCGGAGAAGGTTCTGTATGAATTCTGCTTCATATGAAGACAAAAACAAATTGGCAAGCAGTGCGGCACAATCAGTACCCATTGGACACACAAAAACAACAATAGTACTCATAAAGCAATAATAAGGAATACAGAATAAAAAGAAAGCCATCATATACTGTGACAACGGTGGTTACAATTCGAATTTTATACTGCAACGCAACAAACAATGTCAAAAGTAACGATATTGATTACAAATTAAGTTGTAATCAATCTCTGATGCAATTTATCGTTATCTTTGTTATAAGTTTATTTTGTAGTGAAAATATTACATTACTTTCGTTATTCAACTGAAAAAGGTAAAAAGGAATAACGATTCCTCAACTCTGTACAATGTTAATGTGCCTGTCCCAAGTCAGATATCGCATTGGTGTGTGTCTTTGTTCATACATAAATAGGTACGTATGTTAAAGAATTGGGATTGGTGGAACGTCTTTGGTGGTCCCTGTAAAGTTTAATTCTTCTAGACTCGGTACAACTTTGATATTGATATATAAAAACTATTTTCGAACACCCGTATGTTAACCTGACGTCTTTTATGGTGTTATTGTGTAATCATATGGCTGCCATTGACTTATTCTCTGTATCGTATTAATTAGTACAAATAACTACGAATGTTAAGCATTGTTATGTTGCCGTTGAGACTTTAACCTTTTGGGAGTTTAAAATTTGTATCAGTCATCTCATTGACCGAACGGAAGGGCACAATATTGTAATTAAATAGCATACACAAACACACGTTAATTCCCGTATGAACCACATGTGACTTGAATCTTTACTATACTTACTCGACCTATGTCAAACAATACCGCAGCTAAAATAAAACAATAAAGAACAAAAACAAAGAACAAAGATCAACACAATCCTCTGTCAAAATTGTATCGACCTCATGTATTCTAACAGAGTATGCAAATTCTATTCAAAATGTGGTACTCCTCCCGGGTACGCGTTTTGAAACAGGAAATTACAAGTCTTATTAGCCATGCAAGTCAAGTACATGAAAAAAAAGGAATTGCCAAAAAGGAATACGAATTCAATCGTTATAGTCTTATATGCATAGCTATGCCTAATGTTCAAACAAGTTCAAATGGCAAACACTTAAAACATTGATTTATGGTATTACTATTAGCAATATAATATATCTAAACACATCATCATTTCAAAACGAAATGAAATGACTCTTCTGCTGCAATCTTGTTGTTGTTAAAGTATTGTTATATTTTGGTATTTACCTTGTTATATGTGGGTGGAGATTTTTTTATTTATAACTGTTTGATGTTTAATAAATAACATGTAGGTGATATTAAACTATTCCACTTGAACGTTGTCATGTTCCAAAGTACACTACATATATGAACTTGGTATACACGAAACTATATGTTCTATAGTACAAATTGAACTTTACTAGAAAAAGGTTAATTTGTAAGAGTAAGGGAAATTTTACATAAAGTTACAAAAAAATTATGTGAAGCAATATTCAGCATTTGGTTTTGCAGTATATTTATTAAAAATAATAACATCTACTTGTGTTGTTATTAAAAGAAAACATTGAGTCAGTATGAAAAACTCCGCTGTCTGATTTAAACATATCAGTGATATTCAAACAAAATGCTTTTATCTTAGAATAAATGATTCCGATCGCTATATCAACTTTTTTCATGCTGAAAGTTGCCCAATGAATAAAAACATATATTTTTTAAACTGGTGATAATTCATCTATACATACGTAAAGTAGCGTACATTTGTACGGTCTAATCATAAATATTATTTTCCGGGTTATGAGGTCTGAAACATAATTGTAATTAAACGAATTTTGCAGTAGGTCATCTTTTACGTCATTTTTGTTTTACCCGAATACACAATTAAGCATTAATGTTTTCCTTGGAGGTATAGAACATAAAGAAAATCTAAATAATGGCTTAATTTATCACTACAGGGATTTGCACTAATTCTTTTGTCAACATCAATTACAAAGTGTAAATTAAGACATATTGAAGTTTTACATCATTATGACCCATGCTTAAACTGAATGAATAGTTAGGAATTAATTAGCAATATGAAAGTACATTTTCACACGTATTGCTATCAGTTAATTGCACCTAAAGAATCGTTGTACTGGTAGCTAAACTATCATCATGACCAATGCTTTTATTGAATGAATAGAAGGGATTAGATACCAACATGAAAGTATATTTTCACACACATTGGTATCAGTTAATTGCACTCAAAGAATCGTTGTACTCAAACGGTAGCTTAAATAGAATCCTAGCAACAACATTCGAGAACATATACAATTAATGTACCATGCAATAAGACCAAAATCTCTAGCGCCAAGCGAATATATGAAAATTAAACGTACAAATTTAATTTTTTTTCTGAATCTTCTTTGAAATGTTTGTTTAGTTCATTTGCAACAAAGAAGCTACGAGTCCCATTTTTTTCAAAATCATAAAAGCTTCGGCTTAAGAAGAGCAATTACGTAAGATATTTAAGCAAATCGAAAATACGAGTTAACACGATCGTAATCGCTTGAACCTCAAACGGGGCACGGCAAAATGCTTCGACAGGGTGAGCAATTACATGAATCGGTCGACATGCAAGTAGTCAACTAATTATGTACTCTTTTAACTCTTACATATTGAAACAAAATAAATATATGTTGACATTCTGAGGGAATAAGGTGGATATCATGTACTTTGGCTAGAATGATAAAAGAAACTACAGAAAACTATCCGTTTCGCATCAAAGAAGCAAGAACACTTTGCTCACTTTGTTTACTTTACAATCACCTTTTATACTGTCTGTTTACTATTCGGGTCGTTTTGTTTGGTTTTCAAAAGTAGCACTTCTCCAGCTTATAGAAATATATATCAATATTTTTTTTATTCAAATGCTGAATGAAAAAGAGAAGTAGATATCTATAATCATTTTTTTTATTTCAAATCCTGAAATAAAAAGTACACATTGACCCGTAATGTTTAAATTCAATTATATTTTCCAATATCTTTGTTAATTTAACTAACAAATATTTAGGACATATTAAATGTTGTTTTTTGTTGTTTATCCTTTGTAAAAACCATATAAACGGTAAATAAAAGAACGATAAATTATCAACAATTTATTTTACAAACATGCAATTAAAACTATAGCTAATGCTACTGAAATGGGTTTGTATAATACTTTTTAATTTACCACTAAAGGAAATGTACATAAAACAGTTAAAGCAGAGTTTAGCACTGAAAAAACATATTATCGTCTACAAAATTGGCAATTAAGTATGCTGCATGCTGTGGTGGTATAGATATCCAGGTGCTTTTACATAAAGCACACCACATTTGGACATGAAATTTTTAGCGATTTCGTGTGAAGAAGCTTTGGGCATGTCAAATGCAAGTATAGTCATACTGGTGTTATGTATAGCTGCACACTTCCAATATTCCCCGGAGGCAGAAGTTTCCAGTTCACTGACTTGTGGATTGTTTTCGTTCGAAATATGCCTGTAATATTGGTCACTGGGTATCAATTAACTAATATAACAATCAGTGTCTTTTATCAAAATAAATAATAATAATAATAATAATAATAATAATAATAATAATAATCTATCCTTTTGTTTCATCTGTAAAATGTATATTTTGGTTTGCTTTTGTGTTCATTATTTGTATACTCAATTATTTTAAATCATTTTTCGATAAAAATTAATGCTGCTTACCTTGTAAAGAAAGAACGGATTATTTAAATTCCAATAATTAAATGTCAAAGTTACTTTCGCCACTTCAAAGAGTTTGTTGTTCACTTTTATGAAGTTTGAATTACATATATTACCTTGTCCTGTAATCGATAAATTTACCCATCATTAATTCTCTTTCTTGATTGGTCGGTCTTGGAGTCATGGCAACCTTGCAGTGATATTTTCGGCTTAGTAAACCATGCCTATTGTCTTGATAAATGTTTTATTTTTTAATTGACGATTAAAACCTTGCTCAAGCAATATTTCTATTGCAGCAAACAGGTTTATATAGAGTGTCAAGCAATTTCCTGTTTCAGCTTTGATGTCATTCAGGTCTTCTTTTCCTTAATATGTATTATATATCAGCAATAATATAAATGTGCATCAATTACGGGAAATTGTTTCCGTTTAGTAGGAGAATACCCTGACTTCATTATACCATACTAAACACTGCGATCCAATATTGAAAATAATGATCTAAGCCTACACAAATTAAACTTTCAGGTACTACTAGTTCATATTATTGATAGCTTAAATTACACGTCTCGTGTGTTTTAATATAGGAAGAACTTGTTTAATGTTTTTAAAGAAGTTTGAAATATTAATGATACCGTGTCAATAAACATATAAGTTTCACGAAGTGCACACAGTTATTTGTTATAATGTAGAAGTCTACTAATAGCCTTTCTGTTTATTCAATTCAACACTGTTCGATATAAATGAATGAAAAATGTCAGCATCAACAAATGAATTAAGTCAAAAAAATAAAACCAATTTTTCTCTGTCGAGGAGAAACCTAAGTTGTAGTACTTCTTAATTACATAACTAAATTTGGATTATATTTCATAAAGAACTATAAAGACTTTATTTCCATAAAGAACTGTAAAGCTGAAAGCTTTAATGGGGATGGAAGCTGTAACATATAATGGACTTTTTTTACATCCAGCATTTGGGGTTTCTTTAGCAAAGTTGCGAGGTATGATCTTCTCATTAAACAGATCATCTGTATCGCTTTGTAAGCAGATCATTTGTTTATCATATTTATATGTACGAACATTTTGCAGTTTATTAAAGATGTATTGTACTGAACCTGGTATTCCAATTTGTTTTCTATTGCTTCCTTAAGTGTTTCCCTGAAAGTATTGTTACATCATTTGAAGTTACATGTATCCTTTTTGATTACGAGCTTGCATGACTATGGTAAATCAAGAAACTTGCTTGAAGAAATATTTGCGATTATTGATAACTACAGGTATACCACTAGGTCGATCAAGCTGTTGACAGCTTGGTATAGTAGTCAGTGCTTGGGCGCTGTCATGATCGGTTGCTACTCCCTCTGGCAAATTGACCTTATAAGATGATTTGGCTGTTCTGTTACCTTTAATATTTTTTTAGACTTTTCACATTTCTAGACTCGAGCGTACCAGAAGATTTCTTAGAAACGTGTGTTATGCACGGGAAACATATTTTGTTTTTATTTCTATTGTAGTTCAATGATTATTTTTAATTTCATTCAAAAACCATTATCCAGCTTTCTCAGACAAACCGACCAGGCTGGCCTTGTATATGTATGGTTTTGGCATTTCCTTTTTAATAGCTTACATGAAGTTCCTTATTTTTTTCTCCGACGCATACTGGCATTCCTTCCTTTGGCTTTTAATTTGAAAGTTTGTTTAATCTTAATCCACATAGATTGTTTTAACGTAAGCATAAGTATAACCTGTACGTGAGTTCTGATAAAACATTGTGCAAAATGTACTTCAAGCATTTTTTCTATTCAAAGTTAAAAGAAAATGTGAAAAACATTAACAATATGCAACAAATTTGAAATGTTAAAAACAAATTTTCAGTGACATGCAGAAACCAATGAATTAAAGTATGGTTTTTATAACGAGCAAATGACATACCAATTAGATTTTTTTCGAATATCTACTTATCCATTTATACCGTAATTTTGATTCTTCCTGTCTAAAAAAATCCAACTTTTATCCTACTGTAGAAATTGCGATTATAATTACATAATGACTGCAGATAACAACACCCGTGTATATTCCTTGTCTCCGGTTAATAAAAAGATGCTTAACATATTAATTGCTCCATATCACAATCAGCAGGTGGTACTAATTAGTGAGAAATTGATTGATTCAGAAAACTTTTAATTATTTATTAACTTTACAACAACTAATGTGTTTTCTGTGTGATATGTCTTGGTTTTTCTTTGAAAACCGTTGCTGGTAGTCAATTGTTGTAGCGACAGAATAAAACATATGTGTTATCTGGAATCTGTAAGAGGAGTAAAGTGCATGTACTCTCCAAGGCGCAATGATATTACAAGTGATTAGTTAAATATTTAAGTAAGGGTGTGTTATATTCCCTATGCCATTGAGTGTGATGTTATTGTGAATTGAATATAAAGGTCTTCTTCCTGGGGAATAATTGATTGAGTGATTGTTCTTTACTTTCCATTTCACTATTTCAATCATACCCAATATCTTGCCACTTGACATTAAGCAAACAACAACTAATCAATGAACCTATCCAACGTGCCCTCATGTTCCAGTGACAGTCGAATACCCGCCCTTCAATCGAACCTACCTACCCGATTTTCTGAATGTACTTGAAATATTTGCCACTGGATGTTAAGCAAATAACAATCAATCATTTGTTCTACAGGATGAAGTCCTTTTATTGCGCACAAGAAATTATCATACGTTTATTTAATTTTTTTATTCGAGCGTCACTGATGAGTCTTTTTTAGAGGAAACGGACATCTGGCTTAAAAGTTATGAGCCTGGTATCTTTGATGAGTGTTTTTACTACCACTGGGTTGGCCAGTATCATTGCTGTTGGACTGCCATTCTTACCTCTGTACCATTTTTTAATGCTTCGTGAAAAGTCACACTTTCTCCTGATTTTTTAATTTTATACAAAGTAGACCTAAAATGATTTTAGTGTTTCTGTTAAGTTCCTGATATTGTTTATCATAACTAACTGTATAGACTACAATGCAGAAAAACGAAACGTAACATTTAATTCAAAAGATGAAATCAAGTCTTTAATTATAGAATTTTGTTTGCGTAATTCGAAATTGTGTCCATCATGCTTCTATATGTACATGTTCAGATATAAATACACGGTATAACGCACTTGGAGTTCATCCGATTCCCTCAGTTTTAGTTTGTTACCTTGATTTGTCTCTTTTTAATCGATTAACATAAACTTCGGTAAACTACTACCTTGATATGAAATTCAAGTGACACACATGTCAGAACAGAAGGACTCCACTATTTTTTAAAGTTCAATGAAAGATGATTTTCCTTTCTACAATTTAATAACAAAATCTATAAAATCAATCCTCTTGAATATTGCTTCCAATTTCTGATAACCTGTGCTATGAAATACTTATTGAATACAACTTGTTTCATTTCATTCAGGACATTGTATTATATAAGAAAGGGAAAAAAGAAGGCTAATTGTTCCTTAAGTAGATTGAACGTCTCGTGTAATACGAGGCTTCTCAGTCAGGTATTTCCTGCTTATAAACAGCTTTTCTGACATGATGACAAGTTTTATAAAGTAATATATCGCAGATTCATCATTCTGAAATGTTTTCTTAAAAAATTATTTAGTGATGAAAGACAGTGAATTAATCATTGATTGCAATATTCTTGAGGATAGTGAGTGTCAAGAAGAATAAAAACATCGATCTAATTTCAATTGTAGTGATGTTAATATGTAATTCACTCTTCCCCTATTAAATACAGTATATTTTCCAATTTTCTTCACAAACAACATCAATATTGCCTCAATGTTCAATCGGCAAATATTTAATAATGAAGCATAATTTACTGGATAATCCAACGTGTAGGTGTATAAAAATTAATATATACTGCTTCTTTTGTTTATGTTAGGCAAAAACGTGAGAAGGTTTTATTGTCTATCATATCTTTTATCATTGGAAGTTACTTACCTATGAAATAATTATGAAAATAATTATGATAAATCATTATTGCTTGCAAGAATAATAAAAATGAATGCCCCTAATGACGAAACGCGCTTCTGACGTACAAAATCTTAAGCCTTGAATCTTTGATGAGTTTTTTCTATCAAGACTATAGTTGAAAATTGGAAGATTAAGATCGAAAATGAACGAATTGTTTTACACACGTCATTTTGGGGTCCTTTATAGCTTGCTGTTCGGTGTGAGTCAAGGCTCCGTGTTGGAGGCTGTACTTTGACCTATAATTGTTAACTTTTTACAAATTGTGACTTGGATGGAGAGTTGTCTCATTGGCACTCATACCATATCTTCTTATTTATATTTATGTATCCAGACAGGTACTGCATTTGTAATAAACGTACCATGAACATTTTTTTATTAGAAGATTATGCAAGATATTACAAAAACAAAGCATCAGAACTTAATTGAAGATATGACAAGAGCTACGGACAAAAATCCAATGTTAGATTGTTTCGGTATACAAGTTTTTTTTTCATTTTGGTAATTATTACTCCACTTTGGTCAATTTCAATACAGAATATTTTGACTCCTTTTTTATCCTTTAAAATGGTTTGCTCTATTTTGGTAGAGTTTGGTTATTGGACTAAGCTTTTTGCATTTTGATTATTATTCTATCAGATGGTGATGATCAAACTAAATAAAAGTAGCTATATGTAATTGTAAAACGTGGTTTGCTTCTATTAAACGGGTCGGCGAGGTTATAAACATTTATTGAATGCAAGTTGTAAATGTTCTGTGGTGAAATGAGAGATAAAAACTGATAAAATATATAAAAACAACCTCAAGAAACCACAATCGTCAAGTACAAACCCCGCTCTTGGTTTAAAACAGCAAGGGTTATTCACTAATGACGTCAACGTTTCGCTCTAATCCTTATGTATTTCAGATGCAAGAACACAAACACTCGTCGTTCTCATGGAAATAGGATAGACATGGCTTTGAAAAGACGCAAATATATTACCTTCACCCCTGTTCCCGTACGTGTGACACAACAGACAAAAGGGAAAATTATTAAACTGAGACATTACAGCAACAAATCGTCAGGTACAAACCCCGCTCTTGGTTTAAAACAGCAAAGGTTATTCACTGAAAGACTCATGTAATGACATCAACTTTTCGCTCGAATCCTTATGTATTTCAGATGCAAGAACACAAACACTCGTCGGTCTCATGGAAATAGGATAGACATGGCTTTGAAAAGACGCAAATATATTACCTTCACCCCAGTTTCCGTACGTGTGACACAGCAGAAAAAAGGGAAGATTATTAAACTGAGACATTACAGCAACAAATCTGTTGAAACAGTTGTGGGTCAATACAAGAGGGTAGAAAAATAGTCAGTAAATGAAAAGGTGCTAAGATCAAATTTGTGAAAATTTTATGTTCAACTTTATCAGCTGTTAAGTGGGATAAGAGTAAAACCTAACAGCATCCAGCTAGAACAATAGTTCCTAAATAAGGAGAAACAAAAAGTACACACAACAAGAGTAAAACCTAAGAGCATCTAGCTAGAACAATAGTTCCTAAATAAGGAGAAACAAAAAGTACACACAATAAGAGTAAAACCTAACAGCATCTAGCTAGAACAATAGTTCCTAAATAAGGAGAAACAAACAGTACACGCAATAAGAGTAAAACCTAACAGCATCTAGCTAGAACAATAGTTCCTAAATAAGGAGAAACAAAAAGTACAAACAATAAGAGTAAAACCTAACAGCATCTAGCTAGAACAATAGTTCCTAAATAAGTAGAAACAAAAAGTACAAACACCAACACTACGACATAAGGTTTAGGTGAGGTATCTTATTGGTACATGTATCTTTCTTGGCAATCGTCAACTGAATGCGCATAGTCTCATTTAAATTAGTACCTCGACCATATTACCGTTAATACACTTATACGTTGAATATTTATCCATTAAACATGCCCCACCAAACACTCTTCTGATCAAAATACCAAATTTATTTGGCCATTTTAACTTTTTTTTATTCGAGCGTCACTGATGAGTCTTTTGTAGACGAAACGCGCGTCTGGCGCAAATACAAAATTTCAATCCTGGTATCTATGATTTATTTACAACCACTGGATCGATGCCACTGTTGGTGGAGTTTTTATTCCCCGAGGGTATCACCAGCCCAGTAGTTAGCACTTCTGTATTGACATGAATTATCATTAATATGGTCATAATTATAAATTAACTGTTTACAAAACTTTGAATTTTTGAAATACTAAGGCTTTTCTACCCCAGGAATAGATTATCATAGCTGTATTTGGCAAAACTTTTACGAATTTTTGGTCTTATGCTCTTCAACATCGTACTTTATTTGGCCTTTTTAACTTTTTTTTATTCGAGCGTCACTGATGAGTCTTTTGTAGACGAAATGCGCGTCTGGCGCAAATACAATATTTCAATCCTGGTATCTATGAAGAGTTTATTTACTATATGCAGGAAAAATTCAAATACTTCATGGTAAACTTCAGTGGACTATGATGTCAAACTAACATTGAAGCGATTTGACCTGTATTGACTTAATTAGATTGTTATCATGCATTTATTACACTGAGAAAGTGTCCTACAAATATTGTAGTATTATATATCTGCCGCCGTTAAAGAGGAGAAATAAGTATACATGACATACATAACTGTAGTAACATAATGATATTCGGAAAACAATATTGACTTACATAATTCGTCTAACTGTCAAAATCAGAAATGGAACGGACCGCTTCTAACGTAATATGAGTATGTCTTTATTTCTAAATTGGCTCTTGGATACTATGACAATCGTCATAAAGAGAGCAAAATTTTCATACAAGTGATTCTAAGCATATTGTGAAGACTTTTTGGTGATTCTTTTAATGTATATTTATGTGTAAACTGATAAAAAAAAATTAGACTTGTTTTAACCAATATATTCAGTCTAAACCAACATCAAACACTATATTATTTGATATTCAAACTTTTACATAGTGTTTTCATACGGTCAAGTCTGTAAAATTCAGAAATGGATTTTACTGTATTGCAGAAGAAACACTTCTAAGAATGGCAGAACACGTAGTGAAAGTCTTGGGGTAATTGCCTGGAATGAAAATTAAGAATGTATATAACAAAATATGCAAGTTATGGCGAAAGTTATGAAAATGTCATATGCAATATGACCGATTGATACATCCATGTTTGTTGTTTTCTTAATAATAACAGAAATTGTTGTTTGCCTTGGGTGAAAAAAAATCTGTTAAAAGAGAATGTATCCATATGTGAACAAATATCGCAGAAAATACAAAAATTCAAACAGGTGATAGGGTTGTCTTGACCTGTCAGGGACGTGTAAGCTTTTGCTCTGTGGTGAAGGGCTCATTGTGACTTTGAGTTGGAAAAAAATCAAGATGAAAAACATTACTTTTGCTTTTTTTCTTCTCCAAATTTCTGTATTAATTTGTGTTTAATTAAATACACCAAATTTGTTCATTTTGATTTAATTAAAAGAAACTTGCCTACAGGAAGAGATTTTATGTTCCCTTTCCATACTGTTTTTCCTTTAACTACAACTAAAAGAAACTCTTTGAGTGGGATCTGAACTAGTTGAGTTTCCAATCCCATATTTTCCAGATATTCTGAAACAAATATTTGTATTGTGTTTCCTAATTTTCACGAGTAATGTAACTAACATGTAAGTAAATTGTAAGCAAACACATCATCATTTCTTGAATCAACTTCAAACGAGCGAGTTTTGCAGGTTTTGTGTTCTGTTTCTTTCATTGTACTCATGTTTGTCTAAAATCGTTTAAAACCCATTACACAGATAATTATGTTACGCGCAAAAATTATTTCTTTCATTTATCAGTGCCAATGGTCTATATATAAACATGTGAAAATATACCCTTTGTTAATGTGATAACTAAAAACTTAGTTTGATTATTGGTTGGTTGATTGGTTATTGTTTAATATCCAGCGACACACATGTATGTTATAATATTCGGGGTTTTACCGTGCTAGCTCACAAGGTACATGTGTAACAACAGTCCACTTGAAGATATGTTAAAATTATTTGACACATAGTTAAACCACTTAGCCAACCAGTCGTTTTTCTTACTCCATACGCGAAATACAAATTGCATATTCGGGTTTTACTAATATACACTAAAATCACAAGATGTGTCTGTACGCTAGATTCTACTTGAGTAACTGTTGGCCCTTCCGAAGTATCGGGTTCATCAATTTTTGATGGGTATATTGTTGCTCAACCTTAAATTGTTATGTGTTGTGTTTTGTTTTTCTAGTTCGTTCTAATGTTGTGCTGTTATACCACTGTCCCAGGTATCGGGGGGGGGGGGGGGGGGGGGGTCAAGCGCTAATATATTCTTTATGTGCCTATCCAGAAACTGTAATTCAGTTCCTGTGGTTTGCTGTAGTCTATCATATTTGTTTGAACATACATCATGCGATAGATTTTCTCGTTTGAAATATTTCACATTTTTTCATACCGGGGACTTTTAAAACAAACTATACGGTATGTATTTTTTTATTGTTGACGACCGTACATTTGGTGGCTTACACCTATGTCCTTTGACTTTGATAATTGTTTTATTGGCAATCATACTACATCTTATATCTATATAAACCGAGACTTTGTTAAACTTGATAATGATGCTTTGCCAGGAATTGTCACATAGATTAACAAAGATGTTTATATTTTGATATTGGTTTCAACAGTTTTCTAATATTTTCCCTACTTACTTATTAACGCGTTCAGTCGCATTGCCTTGTGTGTAACTACTCCTCATGATCCGTATGGTCCATACCGTATTATTACTTTTTCGGATTTCTTCGACATTGTCGCAGATGTAGTTGTTGTCTTGTAATGTACCAGCAGGTCTAGTTACCTATATATTAAATATCATAAAAAACGTTCAAATGTAGGACGTATGATTAGAACATTTATTTGGTCCCCTGAAATTGCACAATAGTATGTATATAATGGTATTCAAAATGTAAGTTGATAAACAATGAGCATAGTGATAGTTTGTTTATAACAACTTAAGACCAAGTTTAAAGGGTTAAGTCATTGTTCCTTTTATCTAATACATCAAATATATTTTTAATTTTTAATATTTGTTTAAAAAAAGAAAAATATTAATGGTTTTTGCCATATAAACATTTAACATTAAGTTTGTGGAAAGAACAAAATAAGTGAACACTATTACTGAAATTCACAAATATATATAATTAATATGTAGTCAAATATTTTTTTTAACCAAGTCTTGTTTATAGGTCACTTTGACTGAAATAATAATATACACATGTATTACAGAGCATCAGTATCCTCACTTAATACTGCCAAATTACATTGTATTTTTAGATATCATAGTAATACTAAAGATAAATGTCATATGAATACTTTCTTTTAAAATTTGAATCTTGTTACTTGCAATTGTATGGCTTCATTTGTAGGTTTTTAAGTAGCAATAGGTTTGTGTCATTCTTTCTGAAGAAGCTAATGAATTATTATGTTTAAAGATGACCCAAAACTTCAATTTTGACAAATGTTGGCTGCTTCTTAAAAATGAATAAGAGGTATAGATTTTTGTCTTTTATATAAACAAATAATCATTTTGGTTCTTGGTGTACTTCGATACAAAATTTTACCAAAACATGTAAATTTAGCCATATCATCAAAATTGTCTACAACATCAACATCCATCAAATTGAATGAATAACATTTGATTATATGTATGCATGTAATTTTCATATTTTAAAAATATTCTGTTAGGGTCATTTGCAAAGTAAATCAAAGCAATTCAGTGTTATGAAAAACAAGCAAAACTGATGATGTTCAAAGAATCGGTTAAACTCACTCCAGAAAAGATAACTCGTATGAAATATATATATATGTACGTTTTCTTTGGCGCTCGCAAACGAATAATACAGTAAGAAATAAACTTACGTTTGGATATTCAATGGGTTAAGATCAGTTTGTGTGTCATGATATAAGTAGTATTTAAAGTGTGTAACGAGCATAGTGACAGTTTGTTTATAACAACCAGTGTTCATGTTTAAAGGGTTAAGTCATTGTTTGTTTTTTATCTAATATTACCATTTATGTTTTTACATTTTACTGTTGGTCGGGTCTTGAATTCCCATTCAGGAATTTTAGTTCTTATCTTCGTTATTTACTATCTTCTCCTAACCAGGACATGTTTTCAATTCTATATCTCATACTAGCCAACACACCATTAGACAGCCAATCAGAACCGATATTTGTCAAGTAATAATTTCAAGACGTTGTGAATATCGAATGAAACTAATAGCTCCGCACCGTGATGCGAGGCAAGCAATTACAAGATGTGATATGGAAAGGAAAAGCTTTTCCTGTTTGAAATGTATTGTTTTTAAGATATGGTTAATGTGCGTGTGTATTAAAGGTAGTTAGAGTCGACTTGCTTAACGTGCGATATAGTCATTAAGCCTGTGATAAAAAAAAATTCCTGCTTCATGTGTGGTTTAGGTATTAAGCCTATGTAAAAACTCCTATGTAACTTGAAAAAGTCCTGTTTCATGTTTGGTACAGGTGTGAAATTTGCATTAAAAAGTCAAGCTTCATGCGTGGTAACAGTTATTGATGATAAAAAGTCCAGCTTCGTGTGTGGTACATTTGTACATGTATTAAGCCTGTGATAAAAAGTCCTGCTTCGTTTGGTGGTACAGGCATTGTGAATTAAACATCGGATTGGGATCCGGCACTCTAAATGCACAACAGGCATTCAAAAGTGCCATTTTACATTATTTTCAGATCGTCAGCACAATTTCTTTCGGTACTCGTCGGCTTTGACCTACGTCAAAGTTTTTTACCTATTGTAACTCAAATGAAAGGTGTTGACAGAGAGCCTTGCTGCAAATGACGAAATGGGAACCGGCACCTCAAATTCAAAGTATCATTTTACATCTACATTTATTTCAGTTTATCAGTTGATCGTCTTTCGGCCTGCCTCGATAATTCCCAACGACAAAATTCCTAACCACTACTGGCCTAAATGCATTGCGCTTAGCGAAAACGTAAAACATCCAAGCTAAAATCTTACAAAACGATAGACTTTATCGACCAACAGAACGAATTGAAAACAACTGTTATATTCCATAACTTGGTACAGGCATTTTCCGAAGAAAATGGTAGGTTAAAACTGGTTTTACAGCTAGCTAAACCTCCCACTTGGAGCGAAGTTCGGTCATCAGTGGTAACCGGTACCAAAGGTGCACTACATGTGTTTAAGGTGGGAAGCGAGGAAGCGCTTCATATGAAAAATTTACTCACGATCAACGTTTCAAATTCACGTTTTAAAGATTTAAATTTTCTGAAAACCAATGCATGTAACTTTCATAATTTGGGTTTCTCCAAGATCTGAACTCAATAAATTTAAGATGTAAATACGGCTGTTATGCAAAAAGGCTAAAACAGGATAAAAATGGCCTTTATTATCAAGTCTTTCCTTTTTGCTACAGTTTACGTAAATTGTTTTCTTTTATTCGTCACATCGTATTTTTGATCTATCTTAAGCGTCAAGCAGAAAAATGGTTACTAGTATTATCGATTTAAAACAGATTTTATCGGAAATAGGTATATGGTGTATCCAATTTCCACCCCTATGACACTGAAATTGACGTTAATTTCTTATTTGTTGCTTTAGTCTTCCTTTAATTTAGCAAGGAAGATGCATTTCAGGCAAGGTTAATATACTGCAAAATATGTAGTTATTATGTAACAAAATGTCATATCGATAAACAAAAGCTTGCTAATTATGAAAGTTCTTTGATATAGCACATTGAACTCAAAGCCATTCTTTTTCATAAAATTTTTTTTCTATATAATACACTTTTTTGTAAAAAAAAAAACACACTCTTATCCTTAATACCCCTCTAACTCACTCTCATTTTCACTTCTGTCTTTTTTCATACACATGTTCTTTCTTTTTTCGCATACACATATACATGAATGCACCTCTTCTCACTCACTTTCTCGTTCTTTCCACTGTTAATCTCTCCCGTTTTACTTTTCCGCTCGCTCTCTTTCTCGTTCACTCTAGCTCTATTTTATTCTCACCCACGGTCACGGTCTCGCTCTCTCAATAATCAACAGTCTCTGACTCACTCAATTTCCATCTTTCAATCACGCTCGCTAACGCAATCTTTCACAACAGCTCTCTCCCTTCTCTCAAGCTCAGACTACTTTTCACAAGCTTGCTTTAAAATTCTCTCTCACTCCTCACTCACTTACTCTTTCCTCTCTATCTCTCACGGTCACTATTCTCTCTCTCGCTCACAATTCACTATTCCCTCGCTTACAACTCACTCCTCAATCCCAATTCTCTCATATCATAATGCTCTCCTTGCTCCCAACTCAGTCACTGCCAAGTCACTCACTCTGAGCACTCGCTCTCAACACTCAGTCTCAACACTCGGTTTCAACACTCGTTCCAAACATCCTCCAATCATTGACTCTCCATTCACTCACTCAGTCATTTACTTACTCTCTCCTCCCTCCAAACTTACTTTCAATCCCGCTCTCGAGCTATATGACAAAGTAAAATTGAGAATGGAAATGGGGAATGTGTCAAAGAGACAACAACCCGACCACAGAACAGACAACAGCAGAAGGCCACCAACAGGTCTTCAATGCAGCGAGAAATTCCCGCACCCGGAGGCGTCCTTCAGCTGGCCCCTAAACAAATATATATACTAGTTCAGTGATAATGAACGCCATACTAAACTCCAAATTGTACACAAGAAACTAAAATGCATTTCCTTTCCAAATAAATTCTTCTGGGTTAAATCAATCCCACACGAATATACACCAGTGTTTAGTGCATGGCTAGGGCTACGGGGCGAACACCTCTGCCTACCACTTTCTGAGAAAGGTTTGCACCTTCACCTTCAGTGTATCCTTCATTAGGTCAGAGCAAACATAATAACAAGTTAAAGTGACACTTTTTATTTCAATAGAAATATTGTACGGTATTCATTTTTTTTGTTTTTCGCAATTAAACTTTTATAATAGAAGTCATTGTTATTTTTTTCTTTTATTTTATTTTGATAGTTGCTCTTTCAATTGTATTTTTTTCAGTTTAATTTAATAAAAAATGATTTATTTTTTAGACATTTAAAATTTTTAGGTAGGAGCATATTCAAGAGTTGTAACTTTAATGTTTTTTTATACGTACCTCAAATAAACATAACACGGGTAGTCAGCGAAGTATTAAAAAAGTAAACATACACACGCTTACATTGATAATCTAATTGCATTTGATGTGATAAGGAGTCATTTAATTCTTTTACTTTAGAATATAGCAAAGTGCTCTCGACCAATGAAATTGTAGGATTTGACGCCTCTTAATTGTGAAGAATGAATGTAAATCATGTTCTTAGTAAGGGATTATCCTATTATGAGGGTCTATTTACAGTTCAAAACAACGAGTTTCTATAAATGAGTTACAACTACCCCGAAGCACATTTATCCGATTGAAAAGAATTTTCACACAGTGATTGAAACTGACTAAAAGTTGAATGTGAAACAAACAAAAAACTCAAAATAAGTTGAAGTTTACTGTGCAGTAAAATTGGTACCGTGAATGTTATTATGAAAATATTAATAACTTCAAATTGCTTAATAATTAAACAATATCAAAGCGTTTGCAAAAAAAAAGAAGAAAAAAAGCTTTAAAATAAACAAAATACCTTAATCTTTATAGCTATCAAAAACTTTGATCACCGGATCAGGGGTTTGGAAGAATAGTTATTTCCAATATTCCGATGAAAAAAACAGGAATTTAATTTAAGTCTTGAACATATTAAAAACTTTTATAGGCATTTTATTTGAACATTTCCCTGACATAGTGAAATAGTATTTGATGAACTGAAAAAGCCGGACCAAAATATTGGCTGCTAAATAAAATTTAGTTGTAACTCAAATGTATCAATTGATTTAAACTATAAATTAAAAAAAAAGGATATTTCCTCACTAAAATATTACATGATTTACATTCATACTGACAATCAGAAAACACATACAATTCCTTCGTTTTCTTTGTTCTGTTGTGTCACATAATATGTATAACGCATTTTTTTTAAATATTTCCCAAATGATAAGAAAGTCCTTACATCACTAAGAAGCGAAACAAATTTGACAGAAAATACATGAGAACTGTTCCCACCATTTTCCCACCTTTAATCTACATGTAGAATTATTTTAAATGTACATTACATAAAATTGAAAAGAAAATGTTTGTCAATTTCTATAGCAGTAGAATACTTTTCTTATTGCCGGGGCGGAGGAGGAGGGGAGATGTTTTTTTTTAATAATTTGTTTGATCTACAAAATTCTTCAATAAAAATGTGGGTTTTTTTTCGTTTGGGAGGTTAACAAACGAATCTGTTCCCTTGAAAATCAGGGAAACATATTCAGTTTACAAAAATTCTTCTTCTTCGAGTATAATCTTGAAATAATAGTTTCTGATTAAGGTCGAAACGATTTGTATGTCGAAAGAAAATATACAACTAAGACATCACACGATTGTTGTTTAGAGGTCAATGAGGATACAGTGGCAGGGACGAATGCTCAAGATACAGCAGAATAAATGTGTTATACAAGTACATTATAACAACATCAGTTTATCAAATGCTTTGTTAGCATGGCCACTCATAAATTAAGTATACAAATGTTCAGTCAATACATTTATTATATTATACGACAGTTGTTCTGCTCATTTTTTGAGGATACCAGAAATCGAAAGACAATCTCCTTCCACAGAAATGTCAAATAGTTCTTGGTTTATTCACCTAATTCACTACAGAACGATTAACTCTACATTTTTTATGTTTTGTAGTAAGTTGAGATAATGCAACCTACTCATGAAAAGACATATTAACATTTTTGTCATTCTGATTGATTGATTTGTTAGTGCTTAACACCCCTTTCAGCACTATTAATTATATCAAAACTTTTAATTTTCAACCCTGTATACCACCATTCCCCATGCGAAATTGAAAAAAATCGTCTAGAAGAAATAATCTACAATGCTTTTCAATACAAAAATGGTGGCATACGCTATAAATTTATTGCTTTGTGATACCATACGGCATATTTTGTTAATAGTGATCAAAAAGGTAAAACATGCTACACAGAGGAACAAGTGATCAGTATGCTGAAGGTTCTTATTGACAACATATTTGTTGAATTTTGAGGTAGACGTTTTCAACAAACTATCGGCATTCCTATAGGAAAGAAAGAACTGTGCGCCTCTCCTTGCCTACCTCTTTTTATTTTCATATGAGTCGGATTTCCTTCAGACACATGTCAAAAACAAAAAGATCAAAGAAGCCAGATAATTTAATTTCACATTCAGATATATTGATGATGTTCTTTCCATAAACGATCCAAACTTTTCAGATTGGGTTCCATTAATATATCCTCCAGAACTAAAAATTAAAGAAACAACCGACACGGCTTCCGCCGCCTCATTTTTAGACTTATTCCTCGAATTTGACATAAGCGGTCATCTCAGTACCAGAATCTATGACAACAGAGACGATTTTAATTTTGAAATTATGAATTTTCCCCACCTAAATATGTTCAAGACTTAAATTAAATTCCTGTTTTTTTCATCGGAATATTAAACCAACTTCACTTGCATATGGAATATACATTTCCCAACTCATTCGGTATTCAAAAGCTTGCAGCTTGCAGCTGCTACTCACCAGTGTCTGAGCAGAGAGTTGATGAACCAGGGTTATGTCACAGAACGTCTCGTCCTTTTTTCTATAAAAGTTCATCGGAAGATACCAAGACCATGTTGATAAATATTCCGTATCAACTTCACAAATAATACATGATGGTCTTGAAGTATAGATTCTAGGTACTGACGTTGCTTATCATCTTAATTATGTGTTATAGTGTTCCTTTTATTTGTCTTTGTATATCTTTAACCTGTACTGCTTAGTCCATTTTTGGTAATATACTTTTGGCGTGGCTCGGTATTTTTGCTTATGTACTTTGTCTATAGAGTGTCTTTATGCCATTTTGTTTTTCTTTGCTGAAATAGTTATTTGTTTTTGTAGTGATTAAGATTATAACAGAATGTTGACTGCTGTATCCCAATTTTTAACATTTATACCTATTATGTCTGTTTGCTTTGCTCACACATTGTTGTCAATATAATGGAATTAATGTCATACAAGCGAGAGGTTTAGCTAGCTATAAAACCAGGTTTAATCCACCATTTTCTACATAAGGAAATGCCTGTACCAAGTCAGAAATATGACAGTTGTTTTCCATGTGTTTGAGATTTTGATTTTGTCATTTGATAAGGGACTTTCCGTTTTGAATTTTCCATGGACTTCCCGTTTTGAATTTTCCGTGGAGTTCGGTATTTTTGTTATTTTACTTTTTGATAGTATACAATTACTGTCTTTTGATGAGGTAAATGTGTGGTTTTATTGACTTTTGAAAAAACTGATATTCACTGAGGCCAACGGCCGAAGTGAATGTCACTAGGTTTTTCAAAAGTCAATTAAACCACATATTTACCGAAACAAAAGACAGTAATTGTTTTATTCCATGTTCCGAGAGAGAAAAATATGTTGGAAATAACAGTTATTTACCAAAACCAACTAAACGTCAAACATTGTATCGTTATTATACACGTAAAAGCACGCGACGTTTTGCGCGGGGAATATACTTTTTCCGCAGGTGAATATGCTTATTTATTCAAAATCCCATTCATATAGAAAAACCTACTACAGTTCTTTCAATATGGAATAAAACCTGTTATTCTTTATATATATCACTTATATAAAAAGGATATACGTTTATTTTATAAGCGGACACTTAATTGTTTAATTGTTCTCGTCGTGGAAATGTATGAAATACCTGCCACTTAACTTTAAGAAGGCAGCTATAAACAATCAGTGGAACCCGCCTCTAGAATGTATGTATTTAATGTCCACCTGACCAACTTCCCTTCAGAATTTGTTTGTTAAATATTTCCAACTACACGTTCAACAAACAGCAATCAATCGATCTGTTCGTGGAGGTTGTCTAAAAAGTCTGTCTTGTCTCCTTTAACTGTCTATATTACCTATTTCTCTTCACAAATTACTTGGGAATTTGTATGTGAAATATCTCCCATTAGATGTTAGGCAAACAGCCAATCGTTTATATTGTTTATAGTTGGACATATCCTGGTCAATTGTATTAGAATAGAACTGAAGTGATTTTTATCATATGTAATAATTAAATACTTGAAATCATAATGGTATTTCCGTATAAAAAAATAGCATATAAATGCGCAGGAAAAGGGTTAAGAAATTAAACTAGTGAAATTCGTATTTTCATCTTCAAATTGGAATTTCATCTAAAAAAAACAACAAAAAAACGTTTATATTTGACACACTTGAATTGTAAAAAAACTTGTCTGATGATTTTTTTTCCACTTCAGTTGTTTTTACTAAACATGTTACTGTGAAACTATAAACACTTAAGTATTTTTTTATGCTATGCATCACTATCATCTTGTAGATGTCATGTATAAATCTTTCTTAAGTATGTAATGACAATCCAAACACACGCCACCATTCCTAAAAAATAAGTTATCATCCATATGTCAGTGATAGAAATAAATTTTCTAAAGGAAAAATTCGTTGTTAAGTTTTATAATATGGGTTATTCCTCTTTTCCTACCAAAAACAAAAAACAAAAAAAATAATGTAGTTGAAAATCCATGATTTCTTTTATTAGTTGTTATTAGCTTTAAACTAGCTGTCCGTAACTGCGAATACTCTCAGATCTGTACTTAGTGTCCGTTTTGTTGTTAGGTTTGAGGGATGGATTAATACCCTGCAACGTCCGGTCTGTGTTTATGTTTGATGTTTTTCTGCTTTGTATCGATCTGATGAGTTAAGGCTTATTCAACTGATTGTTATACTTTGTTCTTATGGTGTGCTGTTACATCACGGTCCCAGGTTAGGGGAGGGTTGAGCACTCACAAACATGTTTAACCCCGCCACATTCTTTATGTGCCTGTCCCAAGTCAGGAGCCTGTAGTTCAGTGGTTGTCGTTGGTTTATGTCTGTCATATTTGTTTTTCGTAAATTGTTTTGTTATAAATTAGGCGGTTAGTTTTCTCAATTGAAATGTTTCATATTTTTCATGGCGAGGCCTTTTATAGCCGACTATAAGGTATGGGTTTTTCTGATTGTTGAAGGCCGTACGGTTGCCTATAATTGCTTACATCCACTTTATTTGTACTTTGGTGGATAGTTGTCTCATTGGCAATCATAACGCATCTCCTTTAATATTTTCATAAGTACTAGACCATACCCGCGACATCACAGGTCTGTGACTGAATTAAAGAACCTACGACTTATTTTTAGCCTTGATTTTTAGAATTCGTATTGTCATTTGGTAAAGTCACGCTGATTATAAGGTGCACAGTTATTCCCTGTATAATGACGATGTTTAGGTGTGATTATTACCCGTGTTTATAGCAAATTCTGAATACACCGTTTGGTTTTGCGCCTGACAGAGGCGGAACGCCGTTACAAAATAGGTAACAGGGATCAGGTAAATGTGACATATACTATTGGAATCGGTATCGGATTCGACCCGGAACTTGTTAATTATTGGTAATATTAATTATGCGGAAAACAAAAGGGTCTGGAATGGTGTAATTTTTAATCTACACCATAGTCCTATATTATTTATATATAAAGTTAAATTCTACGGGCAGTACGTCGACTGAGCATGCGCGAAAGCGTATAAGACAAGGATCGATAACGGTCTCCGAATTTGGATATTTTCTCAAAAATTGGCGTTTTCTGTGGAGAAAAAATTGTTTCAAAGACAAATTAAGGAAGTACAAAACACTACATTTATACGTTATATCACAAATATTTCCGACTTTGTATGGTTTCAGAGGAGTTGCGGATCAATGAAATCGGTCTCTTCCTTTAGTGGTATAGATACATTGCGCATTAAGAAAAAGCCAATTCGCGTTCATAAAGGTACTCTTAACAACAACCATAAAAATCCTATTTCTCGTATCAAACATAAACTAAAAGAACTAGCCAAGGAATTTGTTTTTGTCCCGGCTGATAAAGCTGCTAATAATATCATTATAGTTTGACGTAAATTTTACATTGAGGTTCTGCAAAAGGAAATCACGAATTCACCAACATTCCAACTGACTTCATTTTCAGAAAACGATATCTGTTTCAAACATAAACTATTAGCTACTTCTTTACAATCAGAACCAAATACAATGAAAGTCCCAACTATGTACTGGCTTCCGAAGCTACACAAATCACCTTACAAATATAGATTTATTTCGTCTTCAAGCCATTGTTCCACTACTAAATTGTCTATTCTACTTATTAGTACACTTGGTACAATCAAAAACCTGATGATAAATTGTTCAAATAAGGCCTTTGAAAATAGTGGAATTAACTACTTTTGGAGTGTCAAAAACTCGTTGGAAGTACTTGATAAATTGCATGCATATATTGGTGATTTTGAATCTATTCAAAGTTTTGATTTTTCTACCCTACATACCACTTTGCCTCATATTCTTATTAAGAAAAAATTTACACACCTAATTAAATGGGCATTTAAAAAGTCGGAATGCGAATACATATGTTCAAACTATTTTAGGTCATTTTTTAGTAGGAACAAACAAAAGAGCTATGTCAATTGGACATGCTTTGATACTATATCTGCCCTTGAATTTTTACTTGATAACATTTTTGTTCGCTTTGGAGATTCCGTATATCGTCTAGTTATCGGAATTCCAATGAGGACTAACTGTGCACCACTTATGGCTGACCTGTTTTTGTATTGTTATGAGTTACAATTTATGACTAAAATCAGCAAAGACCCATCGAAACAACATCTGATACAAAAATTTAACAATACTTTTAGATATTTGGATGATAGATTGGCTCTCAATAATGACGACTTCAGTATGTATACTAAAGAAATTTATCCTGTTGAACTTACTTTAAATAAAGCTAATACTAATAATGACCACTGTCCTTTCCTCGATCTTGATATCTATATCATTAACGGGAAGCTTAATACAAAAATTTATGATAAAAGAGATGATTTTTCATTTCCTATCGTTAATTATCCATTTTTAGATGGTGACGTTCCCTTGTCACCATCTTATGGTGTTTATATATCTCAACTTGTACGATTCGCTCGTGTATGTAACAACGTATTAGATTTTAGCGAGAGAAATTTATGTATTACTGAAAAATTATTACACCAGGGTTTTCGATATCATAAACTAGTCAAAACATTTACTAAATTTTATCATCGGTATAAGGACATCATTCGTAAATATAACTCAACATGCAGACATTATATACGTTCGGGTATTTCACATCCAATCTTCTATGGTAATATTCTTTACAAAGCACAAAAATGTCAGTATTCACCTCAAAAGCTAACAAAACCTTTAAACAGACTTATTAAGAAAGGATATAGTTACGATACTGTTGTCAGGTCATTAAAGATTGCATATTTTGGCTTTAATATTGATTCACTTTGCATCGGAATTAAACATATTTATTCTAAAACCAGTTGTTGGTATGACACGGGTTATGTTCTTCTCATATATTTTATGATGGTATAATACTTAACCCCTAACAGAAGGGATTGTGCCTGATATTCATATGATGAAGACATAATCTTTCAATCAGTTTAATTGAGGTCTGGAGCTGGCATGTCAGTAACTGCTAGTAGTCTGTTGTTATTTATGTATTATTGTCATTTTGTTTATTTTCGTTTGTTTCCTATCTGACATCGGACTCGGACTTCTCTTAAATTGAGTTTTACTGTGCGTACGGTTGTACGTTTTTTTTTTTCTACATTGGCTAGAGGTATAGGGGGAGGGTTGAGATCTCAAAAAACATGTTTAACCCTGCCGCATTTTTGCGCCTGTCCCAAGTCAGGAGCCTCTGGCCTTTGTTAGTCTTGTATCATTTTTAATTTTAGTTTCTTGTGTATAATTTGGAGTTTAGTATGATGTCCATTATCACTGAACTAGTATACATATTTGTTTAGGGGCCAGCTGAAGGACGCCTCCGGGTGCGGGAGTTTCTCGCTGCATTGAAGACCCATTGGTGGCCTTCGGCTGTTGTCTGCTCTATGGTCGGGTTGTTGTCTCTTTGACACATTCCCCATTTCCATTCTCAATTTTATTCGTTGGATGCATAATTTATGTCAAATTATTTTTCAATGTATGGCGGTCTGGGATATACAAAACAGATAACAATGGACAAAAGATTGTAAATAAAAGGGGGAATAATAGAAAAATATAGGCAAAATATAAAGAATCCTTAGGGGAAAATGGGGTGCTAAAATATAAAGAATAGAAACATTGGAGAATAGAGAAAATAGCCTAAAAATACAGAAATAAAGAAACTTTCCCTGCACCTTGAAAAAATTCCGGACCCTTATGTTTGTTCAATGCAATTTTTTCCATATCTAGTATGAAAAATCCTGACTGTATCTAACTTTTTCTCGGTTCTCGATTTCATTTTTTCTGAACTTTTATGGTATGGTTAGTGTTGGGGATAAATTTCGCTGATAGTGAATGGATCATTTATCAACACAGTATCTACAAATCTATCGGTCAAATTTTGTCGATCCATGTGAGCGGTGCAAAACTTAAATGAACCATCGAAAAAGATGAAGTGTCATGTTCTCTGACTGAAATAAAAGTTGAAGTCTCATTGCTACTGTTTAACAATAAGTTGGTGTTCCTTCATATTTTCTGTTTACTGTTTAGTCTGTTCTTGTAATCATCTGAATCATACTGATTGAGCTCCATTTATCTATAAGCAAATAATTAGCAACAAACAACCATCTTGTAATGATAATGTTAACTATTATATAAGCAAAAATCAGAAAATTGGAAAAAATCCCCTACATGTAAATCTTTACTCTATTTTCTGATATTGTCCATCGACACAAACATATAAATACAACTTAAAAATTATAATAATTAAAAAATCCTGAATTTATTTTTAAGGTTTTAAAAGCAGTTGTATTCAATGGCGGAATTGTTTACTTTTGCCGTAGTTCCATATGGATACACACATATCATTCTACTAAAGATTTTTATACTAGAAAACAATTGGACGGAAAATTCTACAAATTGGGAGGGGAGTATATACATTCCCTGATACAGTTTCCAATGGTATATTTATCACATGCAAAAATCATCATGATATATTTCTGAACAGATTTTGAAAAGTTTTCTTATCTTTTTTCAATTATAATTTGAAAATAATTTTACATGCGTAGTTTCAATACAGAAAAAAAACATTGAAAAGAAACACTGCTTAACCAATTACATAATTGTTTGACACTTGTCTACAAGTTATATATGAATTAAATTATAAAATGCATTCCTGTCAGAAATAGATATATTAGATTTAATTTGCTAAACTTTATTTGTCAACACTTGTAAGAGCATCTGGTCTTCTTCCTGTGATTTATTTACGTAGAAGAATTCTTGTTACTTGTACGTCTTCTCGCTTATTTGCAATTAAATATGTGTTGATTTTTGTATGAC